CCATCGGGGCCGGTCGCCTTGCCCACCTTCAGCTTCCCTATCATATATGAAGGGAGCCTATATGAATCCTATATATAATATATCCTATATGAAGGGAGCCTTGAAACGACTGTGTGTGTTTCACTGTCTTGTACGACTTTGGCGAGGCCAAATTCGTATTCTTGCTTGTGTAGGCGTAGTTAGGCTAGAAGTCAGGTCCCTATGAACCCGCTATCCTAAGGTAGACCCGTAAGGGCTACGACCTGGGTCGTCTTAGGCCAACAGTTTTGTCTTAACTCAGCGGCCCTAACACTTGTTTACGTTTGAGAACTGCTGTTTTCCGTGTGGCACAGATGCGTCGATTCGACGTGAAACTTAGGTGCAAATGTACATAGATGGCAAGGGTATATGCTATCACGACCTCCATGCACGTTGCGGATGCATCAACGTGATGCTGGCCTATGTACAAAGCCTGTAACTCGCCGTTTCTTTGCGCTAGCCTACTCTGTGCTGAATAAGGCGAAATCCTTTGGAAACTGTTCAGTTTAGAGCTAAGACCCCTCAGAGACCTTCATGCCTCCTTGGAGAACCAATCACTTTTGTTCTTGGTGGTTTCGACCTATAATGCTTGTATATATATATAGAGAGAGAGAGAGAGAGAGGGAGAGAGAGAGAGTGAAAAGGAAATACCAATGGTGCCTGTCCCACCCAAACCAATCTAGGCGATGGGGGAATGAACCACGCTACTAGTAAAAATTCCTTAAATAATCCTCCTGTTTTATCGAGCAACCCATTGGATTGGCTGATGTACGTAATTGAGTCCACTTCGTACTTGTATAATAATAATAATAGTAATAATAAATAAAATAATAAAATCCGCCTACATAGGAGGGAGTATACCTCCATCGGGAGTAAGTTCCCATGGTTACAATGGTGCCAGTCCAACCCAGACCAATCTAGGCGATGGGGGAATGAACCCCGCTCCCGAACCGAAACCTGACAGAGATTGTCTAAGCTATGGGAGGTTAGCCTGGAGAGAATGGGCGAGGCTGAAGGAAGCTAAAAGAGGAAGAACAGCGAAGAAAATATCCCAGAAATTGTCATGCAGCCTGCGTCTTCAGGGGGTTGAGGCTGCAAGCTTAGCACGACACCCTATCCAGACCGTTTCTGCAGTTAGGCGCTGAAGCTATGAACTTAAATGAGTGAAAGGTATTACCCAGATTTTCAGAGGCACACCCGACTAAAGTCCGTCTGCCGGCACCACTGTTAGCTATCAATTGGCTTGACCAGCCTTGCGACCGAAATTCATGACGAGACTGGTCCATAAGGGAAGCAACCCAGCATGGCTTGGAATGATTCAGGCCTATGCCATAAAAAGTAAAAGGGAAGGTTAGCCTGGGAAACGCAGGCCTACAATGAAAGAGGGAGGGGACTATCATGAATTCAGCCAACAGTGTTCTGTGCTGACAGAATGGAGCGATGCCCAGATTGCCTCTGCTAAGCTGGGCCTTTGCCTCGAGGCACATTGAACTAAAGCCACCTAACCCAACCCCGACAACCTGGATGAGTTAATTCTTCAGATAGAATCAAAAGCTATGGGAAAGAGCCCAATCACTGGTATAGTATTCCTGCACCGGTTCTGTGTTGCAGTCACTCCTGTGCTGCAAGGGCCGCACCTCCGAGTTGTTTACAGGTCGAGTTTCGGGAATATCCATGAATTTTTTTCCAAAAGGATGCAAGACCATTTCCTTCAAGAGCATATTTAATGAGATCGTACTTGGATTGCTGCGAGAAAAGTTTAAATAGTCTTTTAAGGAAATCTTCTTTATAACCATTATCCAGGAACCTCTGGTGCAAGAGCCAACTGTTAAAGAGGAAACTGTCCGCCTCATAGCAAAAATCTGCGTATCTTTTTAACCGAGAGGCGACGACGTTTTTAATAATATGCCTGGGGATATTACTACTTGCATTCGGCAGACTCAGGTATTCGAAATCGAAATCTCTTCTTTTGTCATAGATGCTGCTAATGAAGCGCCTTTCTGAATCATTTCAGAAAGGCGCTTCATTACTAGCATCTATGACCACAAATTTAGCCAGTATGCTTCCTTCTTAGAAAATACATGCTGAATGTCTTGCGGAATTAAATTTATATCTATTTTCATTAAGGCTTACAGAGTTAGTTGCATCTTTTTATCAGACACATTCATTTTTTCTGGTATTGAGTTCAAATGCCCACTTTATAAAAGAAAGAAAAAATATGGAGATAAATATAATTGAGAAATAGAGGCAGATGTATCATCCGAATTGAAAATTGTTCAGACTCCACAGGTAGGCATATTTTTTGATACGCCTTTCGTGTTTCTAGACCTATTTGAAACCTACATCCTGTGGACTCTCTTCAGGTGTGGAAAGATCTAATGGAAAAAAATTGCAAGATTTTGATGAACCTAAAAGTTTGTGGTCTCTATCGTGGAAAGTTAAATTAATCAACTTTTAAGTATGCTATGTAATGTAAGTCTAGGCTGCTTTTATATTTAATGATACATTGGACTTGAAATGGTTGAAGTAGTCTTAATTTCATTTCAATCCTTCAATGAGTTTTTTGTTAACATAGTTTCCTACCTAAGGACATGCTCCATTTCCTGTGAATAATATTTCTATATATCTTTAAATCATGAAATACAATTCCATGGAGTCAAAGTGGGAGTGCCTTGTGAAATACTTATAGAGTGGTCATCCATCTCTCGAGGAGAGCAGAGCATTCACAAAATTATGTTGCTAGTCCATAAATTCTCCACATATTTGAATTTCTGCATGATTTGTCAGTTATATTTTAAATTCAATGTTCCAAGGGATAGAAACCATCACATACTTATGGATAGCCCAGTATATTGGAATTATTGGCTCACTCATATAACAATATAGTATTTCAGATTTTCCTCGTGATATTGAGGTACAAATTTATTATAATCTGAAGAGATGAATAGGTAAACTGAAGCTAAAAGTAAATCCTTACCGCTCTCCATTATCTACTAAATTATCCAAAAGGGCTTACTTGATTCCATGACAGTTTAGTGATCCTCAATATGCTTATAATGTAACAGCTGTGCACTTTACTATACTGTGCACATCACATTCAATATTCCCTTATCAGGGATATTAATCTTTGGATTTGAGAATGCCATTATTAACTAATCCTGTTTTCCTAGTTTTGCAGTTCATAGTAACTGATGTTGAGAATATGAGTGTGAAGAGCTGGAGTTACATGAGTTACATCTGATGAATCCTGCTCTAAGAGCAAAATGTGCTATCTTTGGTTATGGTTTATGCTGACATTCTAGAAATAGGAGTAATTGTCTAAAATGGCTAAATGAATAAATTGATTGCGTTGGATAATTTTTGGTTGGATTGTATTGCTTGCGAATCTCTACAGGGATAGAGTCACTGTAAAAGCCACAAAGGAAAACGTTTCTAAATCTACTGGTTCCTCATCCCTAATACTGAAATTACTAGTAGCCCATTTTGATATTAAAAAATTTGTCAGGAATTTTAATTTTTTTCTTGATCTTCCCTGTGCCTGCCATGGGAAGTTTTGTCCCATGTAGTATTAATAGTATTCTGCATGGTATCAATTTTGATGCTATGATGTACAACAGTAATACTACTCTACGATGTATAGAATACTACGATGAGAATTGGCATAAAAAGCGGTATTCATAACGTCAAGGGAGCGAAATCATTCGGGCAGTCCTGAATCTCCATTCTCGTGCGCGGAAAAGTCCATTTGATGATTCCACTTTGAGCAAATGCCGATATTTATTCCAACAACTTAGGTACATGAAACTTCCAGAAAACAAATTTTGTGGTGCTTCCAATGGAATATGAAAATATCACGAACCTAGATCATCCATAAATGATTTTTTCAGGCGCCAAACACGACGCGTTTTTTTTGGGGCCACCCGGTATATTGCAGGAAAAACCGGCTAAACCGACTAAAACCGGCTTTTTTTGCATCGGTAAAACTGATGAACATGGAAAGCTGGAACTTTTGTGACTACTGAGACAAGGAGTTAAAGAAAAATGTTAAGTATCGACACATCCCCATGGAGGAATTTTTTCGCGGGTGCGATGTTTAAAAAAAAAGTGTCGTGGCGAATTCGACAGAAATGGAAAGGTTAAACTTGGCATACGTATAAGTGACACGATATTATTGAGTTGAGGGAATATTCAGCTTTCATGGTGCATCCTCTCCGGGCATAGAAGGTTTGGCTTTTCCAAGCATGTATTTTCACCAGCGAAAAGGGCAAACGTATAAGGTTGAAACTTTGTGAGTATGTAGCTCTCTGAGGATTGATTTCGGTGATTAAAAAAAAGGTACTTTTCTGTTTAAACGTCTCAAGGCACATATATTGCAAAGCACGTATTTTATCGAATTGCTGATCCAGCAAAACAGAGGGCGCTAGAAAGTTTAAACTTGGCTAAGAAAAACCTGATGGATGGCTGAGTAAAGAAAAAATTATAATTTTATTATACTTTATATAGACGATCATGAGCAGCTGACCGACTGACATAAGTAGCTATTTGCATGCTTAGTTCAGGAAAAATTATACTTTGGTGATACATGCCATAGGGGCACACCTTTTCGGTGAACACATTTTCAAATAGTTCTCTTTGCTTCAATCAAACGGAGACACATGGAAAGCTGAAACTTGGCAAGAACGTGACTGCTGACGCAGTGAGCTCAGGAAAAATGTCACAATTCCAAAATATTGGAATTTTGGGGGGGATATTTATTAGGGACTTTCATTTTTTCAATAATTTCTCATATCCAAGCGAATCGGGCAGAAATAGAAAAGCATAAAGATGGGACACGCATAATGGACGTGATGTTGATTTTAGAAAAATTCTACTTTTGTTGTGCATCTCCTCAGAGCACAGGTTTTGTGTGGGTCGCTTTTCCAAATCCCTTTTTTTATCGCCAGCAAAAAGGGGAAACCTATGAGGCTGAAACTGGGTGGCATGGCGTTCCCTGAGTCTCCATTTCAGAAAAAAAAAGGTTCCGCTAAAACCCATCAGGGCACTTTTTAATGTCCAATTTTCTGAATTTTTTTAATGAGCCACTGAAACAGAGAATTGTGATTGCGGGGAAGTATTCCTTCCTTCAATGACCGGGATAATTGCTTCATAGAGTGAGGATATGTCCATTAATTCATTTTCCGAACAGCTAGAAAAATTACCAATTAATTCATCACGCTCTGAAACAAAGAAGAACATGTGAGCTATTCGATATTTCTTCTTAATTTTCTTGTTCGGTTATGGTGACGATTATTAACCACGATTAATCTAACTGAAACCGACAGAAACGCTCCATGCAAAAGCAATTTGACGATATCAGACTGTTGAGGAATGAGATTGAAAAAAGTTGTGCATGAATGAGGCTACATGGGAAAAAAATTTCATGAATTCATTTGAGATGATCGGAGAATAGAAGATCAAATGCAGATCCCCGAGTGTCCTAGGGGGGGGGACTATCATAGACCGGTATATCTTTCCAAGCCAGTACTCCTCGAGGATGGTTCTTTCCAGACGCTTCAAAATCCTCGTTTTTCCCTACCGCGCCAATGGGGGATGAAGAAAATGTATTGTATCAATAAAATGTAGGGTTCCAAATTGGAGTCGATACGGCTCACGTATGAAATTAATATCAGCTCACAGGCAATGATAGCTCGCCGTTTCGGTCCCATCTTGTCATGTCGGGGTTTCTTCCAACCGTACAAGACGATATCGAAGATCCACTCGAGCATTTCCAGGACAGACACAAAAGACATCCCAGTGTAGAGACCCAGCAATCCTCCCAATGTTCCAATGAAGCTCGACCACTGTCGAGGAGTATTAGAGTTGCAATCAAGTTGGAGGCAATTTCTGGGTTAGGCGAAAGTTTCAGGTTGAAACCTCTACAATCGTTCGACTCACTGGATACAGCCGAGTTTCAGTTGTTTTCTCTATGGATATGGTCTCGTAGAATACGTGCACCACAGCTACTTGCTCACTGAGGAAACACAGTAATTAAGCAGAAAGGAGAATGCAATGTTCTCATCTTAAAGCAGATGTTGCCTGCAAGTCTATATTTTATTATATTACCCATTGCAATGTTAGTAACCTAATCTTTTTACATTGAATATTCATCAAAGTTTTTTATAATGAAAAATCTGGAATTTATTTTGAATATAGTAAATTCACAAATTGCGGGTTTCAAAAATGTTCAATCCGTTTCCCATTCCAAAATGAAATTGCATGTTCTGAAAAGAAGTTCGTGGGATTGCGAATATTATGAAATACTTATTCTAAAGAAAACGATTTTGATTGAACAAAATTAACTGTACTTAGACCAAAATCATGTCACCTCGAAAAGTCACATAATAAATCCCATGATGCCAGATTTGAACAAGTTCCAAATTAACCTCCATTGCTGCCTCGTGTCTCTTTCGGCCCTATGGGAAGAAAACTCCCGAAATCATCACAATTCATGTATTGCCTTACCCAAATGAATATCGGATGTTCTCTCGTTTATGAAGTTATTTTTTGTATATGTTTTGTATTGCCAATAAATGATAATTACCTCATCTGACTCGCGCTACCGACATGAATCTAGCCAAATGTAACCGTAAACAGAGGTCGAAAGATACCACAGACAGCCCTGACGTCATTTAAGAGCGGACAGCAAGTGAGGGTTAAAAAGTTGCATTACCTTCATGATTCCATAGAATCTATGCTGGGAATGAGCATGCAATATCTCAATTATTAGGATATCCTTTGAACGTATTGATAAATAAAAAATTCCCAATATAAACACCCTTGAAGTAGAAAATGTACACCTCTATTCCACTATTTGGCGCTTGACTGTCCCATGCCTATGGCTACCATCGTTTGCATTGCGTTCAGCATTACCTTGTCAAATTGGAAATATTGAGCTATTTTAGCGTTGATTACATAGCTGATGTAATGCATGCGTGCGTTTATCACGTGATCATTAGTTATTCAGAGACATCTGTTAGGAAAAGAGTTGGCAAAGCAAACAAATCCTAGGTGATGCAATTATTATTGACCAAATTTTCACTTTCTTAAGAGAAGGACCACATAGACAGTGCGAACTTGGGACGACGACAGTATGTCCTGTTTCTGAGCTCGCTTTCTTTCGTATTCTTCAATTCATTCCGCACCCATGCAACGAGGTCCACGACCAAGGAGTCATCGCTGCCCATCTTCGTCGTGGAATATCTCTTCTCGATGGTCCTCTCCCTAAATCACCAGAGCATGTTCTTTCGTGTTCGCATACTCGAAGATGAAGGTTGCATACAAATTAAGGCTTACGTGCAGCTCTGAGGAGGGCAACCACAGGAATGATCTGCATCATTCTCTTTCTTTTTCCTGTCCGAGTCGAAGTTATCTAGAGCTGCAGGAACCATTAGTAAAACCTTGCTCAAGAGAAAAGCATAAAGCCAAATTCACAAAACATTCATGACATATAGCCATTTTCTTTTCACATTCTGTGCGGAAAGCGAAGAAACAAGGAATGCAATGACGTTTGGGAAAATGAAGCATAGGTTCGGAATTCTCACTATCGTTGCATTCCATGGCCAGTGCCGGGTTGTCGGTGTTTAATAGAAGAGATATATCCTTGTCGATGGAGAGGCAGCTGACTGCGTATTCCTGCAGCATTTGGGCTGGAACGCAAAAATTCTGGCATTCCTAAACGAGGGAAAGGGACAAGGAAAATAAGAATTTAAGGATAAGAAATGCCTAATAACGGAAGGCGCCTACCTCCTTGGAATAAGCTGTTTCATTTGTGACTCTGAAGATGTTGGGGTCGAATCGATTCAGAAGGTAGGTATTAGGGGCGCAATTCCCGCCATCTGCAGGGGGAATTCTCTTGGTGTCATCGAACTGGAAGAACCTACCGCACTCGACATTATCTATTCCTTTAATTACCTCGAAAGCCTGGATGAGGTCGCCCCTCCTTAGCCTTCATTCGAGCGAGAACAGTCCCAGCACTTCTGAACGCTTCTCAATCCGCCAACAAATCACTCACATTTGTAGACTTCCAATACTGGATTCAATATGCCAACTGAGGTCTTATCAGCAGAAAATACAACGGAAGAATAACGCGCGAGTTCTCTCTTGCAACTAAACGACGAATGAAACCTAGCATCCTGTTACATTTGGCCACGGTCGCTTGCGCGTGGGAGAAAAACTTGAGGTCTTCATCCACAGAAACTCCTACTCGAGGGGTGATCAAAAAGTTCGTATTATTTTAACATCTTTATTTTACAAAAGTATAAAGGAAAAATAATTTAATCACCTTCGAAGTGCTGGAATAAGTGTCTGTGCCTTGGACACACACACTTATTCCAGCGTCCCTGCCATTGTCGGAAACATCGAGAGAACTCTTCTTTTGGTATCGCCTTTAAGCTTGCTGTCACGTTCGATTTGATCTCATCTGTACTCTGGAATCTCGTTCCTTTCATGGTGGTTATGACCGAAACGGTCATAGCTAAAAGTCAGAGGGTGCCAAATCAGGAGAATGTGGAGGTTGTGGGACCAAAAGAAGTTGTTTATCGGCCAAAACATTGGCATGACCATTGTCAAACCATTTGAAAACTGTTGCTTTCTTAACAGCTTCATCACCAAACACTGTTTCAAGCATTTCATGAGTTTCCAATGAGATTTTTCTTAGTTTTAAACAAAACTTCATGTTCGCTCTTTGCTAAAAAAAAATTCGACATTCGGACATGGCATAAACACAGGATTTATGGCGTCAAGGGAGAGAAATCATCAGATTGGAGCACCATCCACATCATGCGCAAAGAAGGTGCATTTTATGCCTCAACTTTCGATAGCTGTTGATTTTTCTTCAGACAACCTAGATGCCTGAAGCTTTCAGAAAGTAAATGTTGTGGTGTTTCCAATGAGAAACGAAAGCATCTTGCACCTGTATCATCAACAGTGGGTTTTAGGAGCGTCAAACAGGACACTTTTTCGGGACCACTCAGTACATTCTCGTTTGGTGAAGAAAAGTTTTCCTTACGTATCACGGCAAGGCTCCTCATTGAAGCTGCAATGGAGTATGGATTTCTCAATACTCGAAGGATTCACGTCCTTCTTTTTCGGGACCACTCAGTACATTCTCGTTTGGTGAAGAAAAGTTTTCCTTACGTATCACGGCAAGGCTCCTCATTGAAGCTGCAATGGAGTATGGATTTCTCAATACTCGAAGGATTCACGTCCTTCCCGTATTCCGATTTCACGTAGCCAACAAGAAGGTCCTTGTTTGGAGTACTTTGGACCAACTCCTCGAAAGTGATCATACCATTCCGCAACAAATCAACTGCGAAGAAAATTCCCACCGTTCTGTAACGAAAGAATCTTGGGAAAACGTTGCGACGTGTGCTAATAATATGTATAACTTACTCTGAAAAGTGATTTTAATTTTTAACTGGTGTCAAATGAGATAGTTCTCTTCTTTCATTTAGTGGAAGCATTGCCGTAATTTATTAATAAGCTATGTGGACGAACATATATTTTGCTGAAGAAAAGAAATAACTTCTCAACTCACTGTCCAAATCAGCGAACGGTGCAACGCATATCTCCTCTCCGTCCTGTTCCGGTGTCTGGTTCATATCGTTGAAGAGATGCGACAAAGTTGTCATTGTTGATTGGTCTGTGTCATGTGGCTTCCATAACTGGCTGAACACCGATCTATGAATGCATTCGTTCTGAATGAGAAACTCCATTGGACTGAATATTCCAGAAAAATCGTATGGCATAAAGGGGTTAGGTTTTTGAGGACATAGAGTGACGGCTGGGAAGGGAAGAGAGTCCTGTAACTCCATCTAGATTATATATGACAAGTATATCAGTAACACTCCAGGTTCAAATTAAGAGACGATATCAGTTTATCGTGCCCCCCCCCCCCCCCCCCGAGCGCAAATAAATCACTCACATTTGTAGGCTTCCAATACTGGATGCAATATGCCAACTGAGGTCTTATCAGCAGAAAATACAACGGAAGAATAACGCGCAAGTTCTCTCTTGCAACCGAACGACGAATGAAACCTTGCATCCTGTTACATTTGGCCACGGTCGCTTGCGCGTGGGAGAAAAACTTGAGGTCTTCATCTACAGAAACTCCTATACGAGGGGTGATCAAAAATTTCGTATTATTTTTACATCTTTCTTTTACAAATTTATAAAGAAAAAATAATTTAATCACCTTCGAAGTGCTGCCTTGGGCACAGACACTTATTCCAGCGTCCCTGCCATTGTTGGAAACATCGAGAGAACTCTTCTTTTGGTATCGCCTTTAAGCTTGCTGTCACGTTCGATTTGATCTCGTCTGTACTATGGGATCTCGTTTCTTTCATAGTGGTTTTGAGTTTCGGGCATAGCCAAAAGTCAGCGGGTGTCAAATCAGGAGAATGTGGAGGTTGTGGGATCAAAGGAAGTTGTTTATCGACCAAAATTTGTCCGATTGAAAGAGCACTGTGGCACGGAGCATTGGCATGACCATTTTCAAACTATTTGAGAACTGTTGGTTTCTTAACAGCTTCATCACCAAACAGTTTCAAGCATTTCATGAGTTTCCAATGAGATTTTTCTTAGTTTTAAACAAAACTTCATGTTCGCTTTTTGCTCGAAATTTGACATTCGGACAAAGCATAAACATTCGGACATGGCATAAAAACAGCATTTACTGCGTCAAGGGAGAGAAATCATCCGACTGGAGCACCATCCACCTCATGCGCAAAGAAGGTGCATTTTATGCCTCAGCTTTCTTGTCGATTTTTCTTCAGAAAACCTAGTTGCCTGAAGCTTTCAGAAAGTAAATGTTGTGGTGTTTCCAATGAGATACGAAAGCATCTTGCACCTGTATCATCAACAGCGGGTTTTATAAAGCGTCAAACAGAACACGCTTTTTTCAGGACCACTCGGTACATTCTCGTTTGGTGAAGAAAAGTTTTCCTTACGTATTACGGCAAGGCTCCTCATTGAAGCTGCAATGGAGTATGGAATTCTCAATACTCGAAGGATTCACGTCCTTCGCGTATTCCGATTTCACGTAGCCAACAAGAAGGTCCTTGTTTGGAGTACTTTGGAGCAACTCCTCGAAAGTGATCATACCATTCCGCAACAAATCAACTGCGAAGAAAATTCCACGTATGCTAATATCATGTATAACTTACTCTGAAAAGTGATTTTAAATTTTAACTGGTTTCAAATGAGATAGTTCTATTCTTTCATTTGGTGGAAGCATTGTCATTATTTATTAATAAGGTATGTGGACGAATATATATTTCGCTGAAGAAAAGAAATAACTTCTCAACTCACTGTCCAAATCAGCGAAGGGTGCAAGGCATATCTCCTCTCCGTCCTGTTCCGGTGTCTGGTTCATATCGTTGAAGAGATGCGATGAAGTTGTCATTGTTGGTTGGTCTCTGTCATGTGGCTTCCATAACTGGCTGAACACCGATCTATGAATGCATTCGTTCTGAATGAGAAACTCCATTGGACTGAAGATTCCAGAAAAATCGTATGGCATGTTCCCCAATCCAAAAACTCCTGTATCTCACTGCCGACCCTTCCCTTCTCTCAGGACATTGAGGTAGATCTAATATATACTGTTCATATAGTCATTGTGAGGTCCAAGTTTAATTCTCTGCTATAGTCATGAGAAAGATCATGATACCTGGGTATTCGTAGTTATTGGGCCAGACAAATATGCATTGATGATATCGATGATTCCGTAGAGCATGTAGCCAGTTGCGATGAGATATACCAGAAGCCAAAAGAGTTTCCGAAAGAAGGAAGATTCCGGGTATGCAGAACGAACCAGTGCCTGGGTAGAGACATACAAAATGGTAACATTTTCTGCCAAATACGTGATTCGGCTTATTCTGGAAAATGTTATGCAATGGCACTGGCATTCCCACTTGCAGTAAAAGTGTTAAGAAGATCCTTCAATCTTCATCGATATGTTAATTGAAGGCCTCAATGACAAAGTGGTCTATCTGCAGAAAAAAAAAACATAAAACGCTAAGGTTGTCTTTGTACATAGAGCACTTTTTCTTTCATTGAAGGGAGTTGATGAAGGGCTGAAAGGAAAATTCTTCTACCTGGAAGAAACCCAAGCTTCCAAAGTAAAAGTGATTATTTTAGTAACTTTTCTCTGTTAACTAAGAAATGGTACATGTAATGTATCTATTTTTTTCTTTGCCGAAATGTTTCAGGCTACTTACCTTCAGAGAAAGACATTGGATGCTCTATATATTAGAATAATTTCCTGTTTCCCTGAGGCCCTTTTGCACATAAACGCGTTTTCCTCTTAGCCCGTTAATAGTTTTGTCTATCCATAGGCTACGTTAAGTTTCAATATGGGAGGGGTCATGCAACGAAAGGGGAAAGGGTGGTTAAGCAGTTAAAAAGGCTGAAAGTTGTCGGGTAGCAATTGATGCCATGAATTGGGTAGCAATTGATGAAAAGATAATATGTCAGACCTTTTCCTTTAATCCACATTGCTTCTCCAAAAGGACTTCAAATTCAGACTCATACATTTATTACATTCATCTGAGCTCTGTCAGAGGGGTATGCGAACAGATATTTTCCTGTGACAATTTCTAACCGTATTTCAAAGATAAGATGATAACGCCTCCTTATCTTCTCTCGCCAAGCTAAGCAGATCCACCAGAATTCGATCAATGTTAATCGCAAGAGTGTAGCTCCTTTGAAATGATTGCAAGGTTATCAAGAAATGACACACATGAAAAAGAAACAATATTCAGGCGCAATTCCTGCATGCAAGGACTTCCACGAACAAAGCAACAAATTGTTGTTACGCCATTATTAAACAAGGATCACAATAGCACCTTGAGAAATTTGTTTCGTGATATTTGCATCAGTCGCGAAGGCCCCATAGCCCTGTCATTGAGATTTTGAAGAATTCCTAGGGGTGTGTGAGGTTTCCACATCTGCCGACAGTCAAAATTGAAAAGTGCTCAAGAGCTGATGGCCTAAAGAAGCGTCACAAGAGACACCGTTTGGATATCCTTCCTCACCCTCAAAAAACATGCAGTCCAACACAATTTGGCTTTCAGATGAGATTTGAGCTCAAATTTTTAAACCTGGTTTTCGAAGTCAGAAGGTGTTCACCATCAATTCTCACTTTTCTGTGGCTGTTTATATTATCCCAAAAACTGGAACCATCGTCATTATCAGGACTGCTTCAGAAGGAACTAACGAATAGTAAATCATCGAAACAAATAATTGGGTAGGAGATACAACTGATGAGACTTGAGGAACGTACGTTTGACAAAAACAGATCACATGGCAGGTTTTTATCATAACTGGGCGCGAGGCTCCTAAATTGTGAGAAGTTCAAATTATTCATCTTCTCATCATATATTAGCTGATCAAAGTAAAATAAAAGCCATAAGAAATAGCGATGCAGACTAAGGACACTAATCTGTGACTTTCCAAAACAGAATATATACTTTCCATTAATCATAAAACTCTGGATATTTTCCAGGTACTATTTCCTGAAAAATCTGAAGCTGTCCATGGATGCAAATGTAGGATACGTTGAGGGAATATAATCCGCACGTTTCCACTGCTTTCAACCTTTTAAAATAAAGCCTTGGTATGAGAAATATCTTACCATCTCGTGTAATGGCATTCCACATCTGGTTTTGCCAATAATTTATGCGCTCTCGAATCTCCGATCAAACTGCATCCCAAACCAAACGTAAGGAATTCAGTCATTCGGACACCCAATCCTGACCTATTGCATAATGAACAAGTGCCAAAGAAGTCGCTGAAAGTGATGGTCGCAAGGGGAAAGTCCTGCGCCCCTCTTTGCGGTGAGAGTAGTAGGGGGTACCGGTCTGGTAGCTACCCCGGATGATGTACTAGGTTAAGTACTAGGTTAAACGGACTCGCAGTCCTTGGAAGTACGAGTTTTGTTTTTACAGTAGAACGCCGATTATCCGAACTAATTGGAACCGGGAGTGGTTCGGATAACCTATTTTTTCGGATAACCGAACGCTCCCACGGAAAGGTTGCGTTAAAGAAGTTAGTGCATAGAATACAATATATTCTTACCTTATACACGTATGGTGCTTTATTGTACAGTGTATTATGTACAGTAATAATCAATTTTCCGTTGTTTCAAATTTGAAATTCTTTTCTTCGCTGCCAAGTCCCTCATCCTTTTCAGAAACAGAAGTTGCGCTGAACAACACTCACTCTGTCGTTCACACCATGCCATGACAGTTTCGAATGCAGCAAATGCCTCCGGCAACTTATTCAAAATGTGCGTATTCATGCATGTACAGTACGTATCTAGATTTTACCTGGATGGTGCGACAGGGGATTCGGAATTGTTTTCCGGTGTTTGTACGCCAATGCTCCATGCCATGCGCATTGCGTACGATAATAATAAAAAAAGACGGGGGCAGTTCGGATAATCGGCGTTTTGGATAATCGGCGTTCTACTGTAGTGAGGAAGGTAGCTTTAAGTGGCATGACATGGGCGAAATGGCCTCCCTACGTCTCCTTCGGAACCATGAGCGTTTGAGAAGAGAGTCTGAGATAGAAAATGATAGCACTGGCGTACGTGCTTCTTCAGCTAAGAATATTTTGTTACATTTGCTTAACTCTTTCAGGCATGAATTAAAGCCATGATCGGAATAATGTACTTATTTAATTTTGAGCTCTTTCTCCTGTTCTATAATGTATTTTTTATGTTCCATACATCGTTCTTATATATTATATACATTTACAATATCATACCATACATTATAAATCATACATGCAATTACATAACTGAAAATTACAATAGTAACAGGCGAGAGAGGGCATCTGACAGAGAAGAGACACGTAGGAGAGTCCATCGGAGCGCAACCTGGGTCACGAAGTCAAGAGAATCCCAAAAAGTTACCATAGACACATTGAACATGTGCAGTCTAGCGGAATAGACGCCGGATCTGAAAGGATTAATGACTATTTTATATGAAGAAGACTCACATGTCCGGTGAATCTGTGAAGGAATCTGTGAGTGACCGGGCCAAAGCCGACAGTTTCTCCCCCTTCATCTTCAAATTGGATCACCGTTTCTCTTCCCTTCATTCCGTCATCAATGGCCATTCGGTTCGTCATTCTCTCCAATTGAAAAAATCTTCCATCAGGTATTCAATTGTTTCGCATTGAGTTCCTTCACACAGATGCCGAGATGGTTTCGGAGAGAAGCACCTGAGCGAGAGAGAAAGCTCGACGTCTCCAAACTCCCACGAATGGCGCCAACTCGCAAATGCGCCTTCCCTCATATCCATCTCGACGTCATGGGTGGCGATCATCGAGCCCCTCCTTCTCTTTGTCCAACCTGGTCGATGTGTCTCCGCATTTATTCCTATACGAGAAAACTGGTAACGTAGGTTATCATTGTCAGGACAATATATCATTGCATGGTGCCCTGACTAATCATTGCCACAATTACAGGTTGAGATACGGCGTCTTCTCTGGTGAGACGAACACTCATATCAGTAACAGGAGGAGGAGAAAATGCGAAAAAGTGAACTTTGAAATTTTCCAAAGTTCAGATGATTTCCCTTCGTTTCAAAGAGGCCTTCCCAATGAATCTTGATTTTCGTGGAATGATTCCGTGGCATCGGCCAAATGCACTTCATCTCGAGGAAATCACTCCCCATGCTTAAGCAAGGCACACATTCAAAAAAAAGAATCCGAGAATTGTACCAAATGTTGGGTCCACATTGTTGAGTTCTGAAATTGATGAAATGTGCAGTCGACTGCAGAAAGTTAATAAACATCTCCGTTAGTGTATTATATCCCTGGGTCCTCCATCATCGACGTGCATGCAGTCAAATAACGCATAAGCTTTCTTGAATAATCTGAGCACATGGCATTGTTGGAAAGCGATCCCCTTTAGGAGTCCACGCTTGGTCCTTTCGCCTTACTCGATATTTACTCTAGAGCAAGTACAATAACTTCCTTGAGTTCATGCATAATTACTAGACTGCCTCCTCGTCACCCCCATTGGACAACTGATCGTTATCATCTTTTACATGGGTTATCCTCTCTTTCGTCATTATTATGTTTGCACAGACAATATACGGCCTATAGTGATGAGAACAAGCGAGCTCTTACACCAGTCTCTGTCCCTTTTTATTCTGCGTACAGAGTGGCAAAGGGAACATATGATGTGAAGACAATTCGTTTCTCATTAGAAGGTGTTTCTATTGAGAAACACCTTCTAATCCTAACCTTCACCCTGGCCAGTTATTAGCCAACAATGGGACAGAGTAAACTCCTCAATACAAGAAACGATATTGGCACTTTTGACAAAAATCACCTCGTTAGGCCAATAATTACCTTCAGTGGGAGGATAATATCAGGGAGGATGCCTAATACTAATGGCCAGCTATTTCATCAATGCAGGCAGCCACGGTGCAATTTCAGAAACCAAATATTGAATTATTATCTCAGCGTGCATGGCAAAGTATACAAGTAGAGTGTGGTAAATATTTCGTATGTTATGCGATACAAACGTCCGTCGAAAAATACGTTTGTTGAAAAGGTACCGAGGCAAAATAAGGCAGAAATGTGACAGGGGAAAAAAGAAGACTCTTCACCTTAGGTAAGGTGCTTCCTGACCCGAGTTTAGACGTTTCCGAGGGCGCAATGGGGAGACGCGGTCGATTCGTCATTCGTGGGCGAATGCAATATGCAGGAAACGGTCCTTCCCGAAAGTGGTCACGAATCCATCGACCTCGCATTGGAGATAAAACGACTTTATCCATCCCGAGGGAACCCCAAAGGAACCCGAAAGTCTACTGCTTTATTGGTGACGTGCCTCCAAGGTTGGCAAGGGGAAATATATCTTCGGGATAGGACATTTCTCCCGGGGAACAGAATCGTGCACAATATCCCAATGGGAATCCAGAGACTGTCTCTTCTGGCACAAAATAAAACATTGTTCTAGTCCGAAAATCGCACTTGCTATAACAAAAAATATGGAGTGACTTTCCAAACACCTTGTGGTTCTGAACCGTTTTTGATAACAAGAGTGTTTGAAACTAAGACTTCGTGAATTGCTCAGGTTTTCCTTCAAGTTTTTTTTAAAACGGCCATCAACAAAGTAGCTAATTTATTTCAAACTGAGCGTTTGGAGCCGAAATTGAGTGCCTGCCCATGATTGCAAATGTAGGTAACTTATTTTAGTTTCCGGAGTAATGCAAGTTGGATTGAAATGGCAAAAATCGGCAAACCGTAGAACACCTATTAACTGGGTACATAAAGCAATGCCTTAAATCAAATGACTCATTTCAAAATCTTCGTCCAGTGATGAAGAAAAAATTCTCCAGCCACGAAACCCTGCACTTAAGATCGACGCGGCAGTTTTCGGTCGACGCTTCGAGGTTCCTCTTCGATGTGAAGCGAGAAAATACGTGCCAAAATGTATTTGAACCTCTGCCTGTCTTGGCTCCGTACTTTTGGCCCTCAAAAGAAACGCCGAAAGGAAAGCCATTTCGTCGACATAATCAAGACAGGCTCTACTTCAGAGGAGCCAGTGAACGTCTCATTCATCCTTCATTTCTCAGTACTTTTAGAACATACCGGGTGGTTAAAAAAAAAAGCGTCGTGTTTGACGTCTTATAAAATCCGTTGTGGATGATCTAGGTTCGTAGGGAGGGCCACGCCGTTGGGTCACGTGACAGGATATTCGCATGCATATTTAACCGGTGCTCTAAAACTGTCAAGGGGCTTTCAAATAATGGAAATGAGTCGCGTCAGCTGAAAGAAATGCTGCTTCTTCTCGTGTTGGGCACAACATGCATAGCGATTTCATTCATCTCGGGTTTATTTCGTCGATGAAGACAAGCATTTTCAACTAATGATGATATTATCACGGGAGCAGTAAGTAAAATAGATCTTAAGACCGCCCAGGGATGGCGCGGAAGCATCTCGGTGTATATGTCTAATTTATGTAAATTGTCACAGTGAAGTTATTGTATAGATAGATTTATGGTACCAGTCAGACCAACATTAAATGGAACGGGAAAGATTCGGAACTGCCGTAAGTTGATTAAAAGTAAGCGATTAAAAATGGTCAGTAGGGGAGAAATAAGGGACACCGGTGAGTTAGGCACCGGGAAGAGGAGTGACCTCGCAGGCCACTAGCAAGCAAAAGAACAACGACCTGATCAACGACCCCCGACGATCCCGGCGATCCCCCACGACCAAAAAGGCAAGCGACCGACGCGAAGCGACCGAGAGAAACTTCAAGAAAAACAATCCCCCTATCGACCTAACAGAAATCCAAATAGATCCGAAGGATCCAAAAACACAACCCAAATCCCCTAACGACCACACCCCCTAGCTCCGACCCGTGAGTAGTCCCCGCTGCGCCCAACAGACCGTCCACTGACCTCAATCCCGGCGAGCGGCCGTATCGGCGATCCCGATCCTGTCCTTGGTGACCATCGGCTGAGAGCCCTTACCCGCCTCCCAAACCCCGAGCTGACCAGCAGGACTTAGTCCCCAGCGAACGCAGGGCCCTAGGAAGTGTCATCCCTTCTCTCTCTCCGGGGGGGGAGAGTGATCCTCATAGGATCACTGACCTCCGAGACCCTGAGGGAGACAACAACGAGTGACCTCCCCCAAAGGAAGCGACACCGACATCTGTCGGAGACTTCAAGCTCCGACAGCGGCCCGGAATTGGTCGTCGACTAGGAGACTCGACCCACAACGACTGACTCATCTTTGTGTGCACGCCAAGGAAGGAAAATAAAGTATGTTTGGTACTGTTGACGTACGTGTACTCTTCTGAGCCCCTCCACCCGGACCCACGGTGTCTTAAGTACCGTGTACCAGACACGAAATAAAAGAGGAAGCGGGAAAGCTCGGTCTCCTGTAACAATATTCCATGGCACGTATGTATAAGCATCCAGTATTCGGCTCATGTGCGAATGAAAGGTAATAATCGATAATGTTAAGGCATTTAGATAAATGCGTGTCTGAATCATGAAGAAATGCGCACCAGCGTAGTTGGCATTTCTACGGCGTTCGCCGCTACGTCACAACAACCTAGACCATAGAGGATGGGAATGGTTTAGGTGGGGGGGGGGAGGGGAGGGGGGAGGAGACAACCCTGTCTGCCCTTGTCCTGAGAGGTCAGTGATCGGAAATGTGGTGCAAGCGAGGGATTTCCTCAATCTCCCGCGAAGCCGAGACCGGGGTCTCTTTCCTCACCTGATCCTTTAATATTCCAAATGGTTTCAAAGAGACTTTTTGTCTTCACCGGCGAGGGGGAAGACGAGACAGTTTTCCTGTCACCGGCTTTCGGGTGTTTCAAAGATAAAACCTCCCTGTGGCTCCTTTAGCGCTTAGACTTCGCGCGGCTGACGCGCTCACGTTGCCCCTCTTGAAGTTAGAGCTTCTTTTTACCCAACTGGGTCGCTTTACCGTCTTCAGCTGCGCTAACGCGGCGGCATTCCCGACCTCTAAACAAACGCTTAATTTTTGTTTCTCTTTCATTCCCACCCCTTCCTTCCCGTCTTTTTCACCTTGGCGGAGAGACTCGCCCGATTCTCGAGGCAAAGTCCGGTCGAGCCTCGTCTATACGAGGCGGTGGATGCACCTAGGCTGAGCAGTTCGGCGCTCAAGTGATGATGTGAGAGGCGGTTGGAGGCTTGGAGGCTTGGAGGCCTGGAGCTGTAGAGACACGAGAGCGTTGGGCTCGGTGGGAGAGGCGAAAGTGTGCGTCTTTCCTCTTTGCTCGCTCCCGTGCTTTAAAAGTCCTGGTACGAAACTAATTTTGTGCATTTTTTTATTTGCATTCTCGCCGCTATGTTATCGTCGATCGCCTTTCCCGATGCAAATTAAAACCTTCAATTTAATTTTCCCCTACCATTTGGAGAGGAAGGAGGCTCTCAATCGTCGTTTCCTACCTGCATATCGAGCTCAAATCACGTCTAGTCCTTGAAGGGAAATGGAACTCACCGTAATGTTCATGTCGTCAGTGAAGGTGGAGACTCCAATCTTCCGAGAAACGTGTGATTGGGGGGAGGGAACTCTCATTGTTTTCTGAGATCAACGAATTCTAGCTAGAACGAAAGGCATGTCAGGCACGTAGTCAACATTGAAATATCGCACGCTCAATTCTCATCCAGACGAGTGGAACATCTCATTCATTCATTCGATCAATCGTGGTCAGTCGTAGATGGCAATACAAGAGCATGGATCGATAGGGAATCACCCGAGATCTTGAAGACAATCGATAATTCTTGGAAGAGCCATCGATCGTTCTTGACTTCGAGACAATGAACCCGATGAGGATAGAAAGAAGCGTGAAGGAGAGGACGCTTGTGCGTCTCGGAGTCGCAAACCTTGACAGGAGCCCAGAAAAGCCATAGAGCCATTTCACGCTAAGAATCTGCCGGGTGAACCTTAAATAAATTCACTGCGTTGTGATTCATGGACGGTCCCAGAATATTCATGAGTCGGCTGAACGTGCATGACATAATAGCTACAGCATTTCCCCTGCATGGTCGCTTCAGGACTTCACCCGGAAACCCACGAAACCGGTAAGGGTAACGTCTGCTCAACTATAGGAAGATTCCAAGTTGAAATAAGTACGGAGGAACTCGGGCGGAGACACCCCTCACCGGCCGCCCACGTGTGATCCACGTGGTCCCACACCCCCGAGGCATCCCGAGAG